CAGGGATGAAGGTAGCAGAAAACATGTTTGATTTATAAACTAAGAAAAGACAACAGAAGAGCCAAAGGGAAATAAATCAAGCTCACTTGAGGCTCTCTGCTTTCTTAGGGACTTTTCCTTTGCCAGAACTACAGCTTAGAAAACACCCTTCAAAAAAACCTGTTGCATACTTCTGGTCTATCTAGGGCCATAGATCTTAAACAAGCATAAATCCAGTTGGGTAATGAATGATAAGCATTAGGCCAGTCTCCCCTGGGGATATGGCAGCCTAGAGAAGCTGGCCCAGAGGAGGACTGATGCTGATACCACTTGGCACTATGCCTTTGATGACTCATGGACCTGGTGCCAATGACTAAGGAAGAATCATGCTGCATACCCAGCAAATTTGCAAGGCAGAGGATTCAGAGCTACCATGATCCATGTGGGAGTGAAAAACACGGAATTCAGGGACTGAATCCAGCCAGTGGATCAGCAGCTGGGCTTTTTTCATCACAGAAGGCAGACTACAAGTAGAAGTCATAACTTCAATATGCATATTGGAATACAGAGTTGTGTAATTGTAATTGCATTGCTACCCAATAATGTGGGCATCAGTCCCAGCAATCTCAGTAGTCAAGGTCACAGAGGCCATTCTAAACTGTACTCCTGTCCAGGCTAACAAGGGATTCTGCCAGGAGAGAACATGTCACAGATCAGGTCACTTGTGCTTTGTGAAAGAGGAGTTTGCCTAGGTACAGAGTGAAGCTTATTTCAGAGCCAAGAACTTGCACTGAATCTTGTGCTTCTTCACAGTACCTCTGCACAAGAGGAGGGCCATGTGTGACAGACAAGGAAGGGAGGCAGCTGGTCCAAGTCCACCCACAGCTTTGGTGAGCAGAAGTAAGTCTGGTACACCAGGGCAATCAGTGTCTCTAGTCTGGCCTGTATAGGACCAGGCTGGAGATGGCCCCAGCAAGGAAACAAACTGCCACACTGTCGACAGATTGCTGATCTGCGTATCACTTCTCCTGAGAAGAAATGAGCTCCCCAAAAGGATGTCTCCCTGTACCCTCTCCACAACCTGCACAGTACTGGATTTGCCCTTTCTTCATCTAACCCTTTCTTCATCTAACCCTGTGCCAAACTTCGTTTTTCCATCTCACCTTCACTGACTGCATTTCCCCTTAAAACACGCTCCTACAAACTCCAAACATTCCCTTCTGAATGAAGGGTGACTTGCAAGCTGCCTGTTGCCTTGATCTCAGCCATGAGTTTGGGTAAGGCTGCACTGAAAGCCTTTGACACCAATCCTCTGCTCTGTAGCAACTGTGCCCTGTTTGCAGGACCAGCTCACGTGCTCTGAAAGTCAGGTAACTGATAAAGTTGCCACGTCCCATTTTACTGCTTCAGCAGTGTTGTCTCACTGCAAAGTCCTTAGAGGATCTGCAGCCCATGACCCCTTGTTCTCATGGAAATAATGCCTGCATGTCAAACAGGTAGTGAACATGATGCGCCTGGTTTTAACAATGCTTTCCTTTATACACCGCGCAAATAGTTACGTTCAACTTCCTTTGCCTGTTCCCTTTGGAAACAATAAAATACTTAAAAGAAAAAAGAAACAGCTTTTAAGACCCCGTTCCCGTTGATAACCACTCAAGTGAACGTATCACTTAACATTTATGACAATCCAGCTGGATGGAGTCATGTCCATGATTGATAGCTACACTTAGCAACTTCATGGTTTTGATCAGCCGAGACAGGAACCAAGGGGATTAAATGCTGGATGACATCTCAATGGAAACCATAGCACTGGGAAGACATTTATATGTTGGGATAATGGATGACTGTGCTGCTCCAATGCATAAATACTTATACTTCACAGCTCTGCTGAAAACAGACAGGAAACCTTTTTTTCAAACCAAACTGAAGGGAATAGCACTCACATGCTGAATACACACACTCAGTCCCCGGATGCCTGACTTGCTGACAAACAACATATAGCTTTTTTGATGCATAAAGTTGCAAGACCTCAACTCAGACCTCTCCCTGCGAATGATCCTAATGATGGGGTGTCTTATATCCCCAAAAACTGATGACCAGTGCTTGACAAACATCTCCTAACCAAGTTCAACTCCTTTAAAGGATCTCTGGAGTTGCATGAGGGATGGAGCCAGTCTGTGAGTGAACAGCAGCAGTATTTATGATCTGCGGTGGGAAGGAGAGATCTGAGACCAAATGTTTCATTAAGAGGGCTGTAAAATTTAAGGGACCTACCAAGTTTTATAAATATAAGGCCTTCTGGTAGGCACTGGGCACCTTCAGTGCTGGGGTACCTACATGTCTGTGTTGATAGCCTTATATTCAGACATTTGAGAAGTGACTTCAAAGGCTGGATCTCCTCCATAGGCCTGATCATAGGCCTCCTTTTCTTAGCAGAAAATCTGGCTGTTGAAGTGGTTAACTTCAGCTGCCAGCATGGGCAGGAGGAAATAACCTTGAGGCAAAGAGAAGTCAACATTTTCCACAAGGATCCATCTGGCTAAGTTAAGACATCCCCCAATTATTCTTTCTAAACAAGAACTGCTGCCTAAAATAAAAATCTAAATGAAGCTCTAGCACTGCAAACCTAAAAACTGTAGCTAGTCTTTTTATACTTCTTTTGTGTGTGTGTGTGTGTGTGTGTGTAACATATCCCATTCCTCATGAGTTGTTACTAAATTCATGTGTATTTTACAATAAAACCATATTTGGACAACTCCATTCCTCCAGTCATGTTTGTAGCTCCCAGTTTTCCTCGACCTTTTACTGTGTCTTATTACAAAGGAAGCATTTATATCAATGTGCAATGTGTATGTGTGCTGAAAAGGTTTTAAGTGTAAAAGATGGCACTGTTCTTGGTTCTAAGACCACTATTATCCAGACTGCACAGCATATGAGGTAAATTCTGTAATTAAAACAGAAGCAATAAATATTTATTGAGAAGCCTGGTTTTAAGAACGGTAGTTGTTCAGAATTTCTGGAAAGTCACCCTGCCTCCTTGGGAGACAGATTACCAGGCAGGGGATGGGATCACAGGTGTGTGCAAGACTGCACACAGCTGCAGTGTGCGCCCACACTAATCACAATACATCTTCCAGCTCTCTTCAGGATATTGCTTACATGCTTGTATATGTAATGCATTTACCCTACACAAGGTATTGATGACATTACTAAGATATGTTCTTGATTCCAAAAAGTGTAGGACATTGTCTGCAAGGTGCTGACTTCCACCAGCTTTCTCACAGAGTCTGACAGAGCTGACCCTCCTGTCATAGGAGAAGAGGAGGGGAGGATACCAAGGACATGCTTATCACAGTGGCTTCCACCAGTGATACCCCAGTGGGATCTCAGGGGCATCCAGGGGGTACTCATTGAGACTCGGCCTATCACTGATATCTAGTTTGCTCAATTCTTTTCTCTTTACTGCTCTTTTGTCTTCCCTTCAACTTGTGCTGCCTTTGATGTCCCTCTCCGTGCTTCCCACTGAACACCAAGTTTCCTGCCTGCTTCAATAATTCTTTACCTTCAGTGTTTGTCCACCCAACTTAACAATTTGGAGTATTACCATGATAAGAAAGGGAGAAAAAACACCAAAGAGACATGGTAAAAAACAAAACAAAAATAAATAGTCACACTGAGGTGGGAAATGGGGTGCTCACACCATTCATCCTGGTAATATGCGTCATCTAAATTAAAAGCCTAAGCTTCCTATTAGAGAGATGCTCTTGTTTGGAAACATCCTCTGGGATACCTCTTTTTTTTTTTCCACTGTCTGCACAGGGAGTTTACCCTCTTAATTTAGGCAATAGCAACATGGATCCTCCTCCCTCCCACAACTGAAACCACCAAGCAGTTTATTGCCACCACTGCTTTGTGATTTAGGGTTGGAGTGTGTAATGAAATATTCCTAATGAAAGAAACTAAACAACCCCTAACCCCCATGGCTCACCATGTTTACTGTACCATCTCAAGGCAAGGCCTATGCTCTTGCTTGTGAAAGTCCCTCTGCAATTACATCTTGGACAAAGACACTGGCATATCCTTACATGCATGGGCTCAAGTGACAATTACAGGATGGGGACTTTGGACTGCTGTATAAACAAGTGCTGCTGTGGATAATGGTGTTCCTTGATCAATAACTACTTTGATCGACTGATCAGTGCTATTGTATTAAAAAAAAATATATTAAAAGCATTTTACTGTATGGAAAGCTGAGAGCTAAATGAATGGTGGCACATGACGCACTCTTCTTGAAAAGTGGGAAAAGGTCAGCTCACACATGCAAACTGACTGCAAGCTGAGAGATATCTCATGTATCTGACTGTATGAAAAAACAACAAATCAAAGCTTGGCTTAGTCTAGCAGAGGTAACTGACTCTACAATAGTGATTTTGGAAATTACTTTTGCTGCTGAAGAACATTAAAAATAGAAAAACACAAAAGTAGATTTTTTTTTTCCCATATTTTTTGATTTATTTTTTTTTTAATTATACTTCTGATAATTATCTGAATTACCAAAATGCTTAGCAGTCCTGGTTATTAGCTGGGACTCCACTATGCCAGAAAAACGGCCATATGGCCATAACAGCAATGCCACTCATTTATTGGTTAGCATAAGGCACCAAAATTTACCATGGCTGTTTCCTGATCTACAAAAAGCAGACAACTCCTTTATAGAATAAAAAGACTTTGACTACACTTCTCTGTGTCTGTAGATTAAGAACTAAAAGAAAGGAGTAGCAGCTGAATAATAAAAGCTGAATAGTGTAATAAAAGAATCTGGTGGAAGTGAAAAGAAATTCTATAGGAATCTACCACGGATTTTGTGACACCTGCGTAACTTCCCGTTTAAAACATCCTCAAACCCTCCCTTGTGACATTCCTGCAATAAAGGCAATTTGCCATCAGAAGGCCATTTCAATTATACAGAATCCTTCCCCCGAGATACGGTGTTACTTCTCCTTCACCATCTACCAACTTACCCTCCAGCGTACAGAAACGCGTCACCTTCTCCGGCATCAGCTTTCCGTGCTTGTGCTGACAATACACATCTGCGATCTCCTGCCGACACTGCTTAGATTTAGCCCGGGACATGGCTGAGATTGCCTCTTTGCCCGTTACCTCACACTTTGGTGGTTGGTCGTATCTCAGTTCAGGGGAGCTGTTTCCACTTTTTTTTAAATGATGCTGTCTGGGAGACCTGTGAATCTCCTTCAAATCGTTGTTGCTGCTGCTGCTGTTTTTTCCAGGGTGATCACTGAATTGCACCACCTCATTGGAGTTCTTCCCCAGCAGCAAGTTCTCCTTCATCTTCTCCTCCTCCAGTTTCTTTCTCAAGTGCTCCTTTTGCTTGCTAAGGGGTTTTTTCACCAGCTCAGACTGGTGTTTTTGCCTCTGAGTTCTGGGAGCAAAGTTACTGTTATCAATATTTTCAAAGTCCTTGGGGACTGAATTTTCATTATTGCTGTCTGTTCGCATTTTCTCTTTCGGTCGGTGGGAAAAATAGCCATCCTATAAATGGGGAGAAAAATTATACTCATCTTACTAAAAATAATCACATCCCATGCATTACAAGCATTTCTTATGTGAAAACATAAATCAATTACAATCCAACATACAGCAAAAAAATCCCCAGAGCTGAAGGAGGTCTCAGAGCTGCCCAAGTCAGTGCAGACAACCACCCCCTGCACCCCCTTAATCACCAAGCCAGTCCAGCCCCCATCTCAGATGGAGCTGGGAGGTTTTACACAGGTTTGTGAGTAATTGTTAACCAGAGACTTCACCCTGACACCATTAAAAAACAATGGCAAAACCAACACAGGTTTCAGTGGAGCAAGACCAGGTCCGTCATTGCTTTTGTTCACTCCTTATGACTGCAGTTTGGTATCCCTGGAACTGTCCCATTTCTCTGCAGAAAGCATCACATGACTTTAAAGCCCCGGCTATAAAGTTTTTCTTTCAGTAAAAGTATTACTTTCAGTGAAGTAATTTTGCTACATACCAAACTCTTCCTAATTTGGGTTTTTTGAGTTTCTACATAATAAAACTTTGGAGAAGTGCTTCCCACAGGGTGCACTGCAGCCCTGCTGCAGGTGGGATGCTGCAGCAGTAACAAGGCCTGTATGAGGGTAAGCAGCTGCAGACACTCAGGCTCCCCAGGGGGGGTCAGAGCCAGGCTCAGATGTCAGCTCTTAACCACCATGTTCCTCTTCTCCACACTCCATCTCTTTGATAAATATACAGACCATAACATTGCAATATTTAAAATATATCATATAAAGGAAAAGACCATGTAAAATATTTGTCTGATGCAGAATAATGCTTTGCTTCATGATTTCATCCCTGACTCCACCTATTCCATGGGAACTCATCCTAGCTCATCAACAGCAGAGCAAGTTGACAACACCAGTGAAAAAGGAAGACTATCCCAGGGATCCTAGAGACAACATAAAACATGGCAATCTGCTCTAGAAAAGATGTGACAGACCAGAACAAAACTAAGAGGCACTTTTATGTGTATATTACTATCAGACGAGAACCTGTCTGATAGCTAGAGGTAGCTATCAGATGACAAAAACTAGTCCTCAAGGCTAGCGGGGGACATAATTTTTAGACCCACTGAACAGGAATTATCTCCATTTATTAAAGTAATCAACAGCAGATGATATCAATGGGGAATTGTTATTAAAACATCTGAAGAAAGGAGTATAAATATTGATAGACTTTTTGAGTCTATCCTGTTTTCTTTCCATTAGTGAAAGCCTAACAACCAAAAATCAGAGGCTGGTAAATGACAGCATCCACTAATGACGACTGATGGGAGCTTCTCTTAACACCTATGAAGCACATTTTGTATTCAAAACATTTTTACCAGCATTAGCTAATTGTTTCTCACACTTCTTCTGCCAGGAACTATTTAACAGTCAGGTTCTGTAGAGGAAGGAGAGGGAGATAATGACTTATCTGAGGCCATGCAGAGAGTCAGTATCACTTTGACCCTTTGACCTCTGCAGCTCAGAAATGAGAAATGTTTGAATAGTTTATTCATTAGAATATGTGGATCTGTGAGTGACTGAAGTGATTCTCACTTCATGAATATCTCCAGCTCACAAGCAGATTCACCTACCAGACAGATTTAAAAAAAAAAAAAAACCAAAAACAAACCAAAAAACCAACAAACACACAAACCAAAACCTAAACATTTTTCATACAAAGTATTTCCAATTTGGAGAGAACATATCTTTTTTTTAAAAAAATCTTTCTAATTTTTAAGGGCACACCTAAAATCAAATTATTTTTAATGTTTTTTTCTTTTCAGAAGAAAAAAGAATAGCATTTTTTAGAGAATCATAGAATCACTTAGGTTGAAAAAGACCTCAAAGATCATTGAGTCCAACCATTAACCTAGCATTGCCAAGTCCATCACTAAACCATGTCCCTAAGCACCACATCTACACATCTACCACATCTACACATCTTTTAAATACCTCCAGGGATGGGACTCTACCACTTCCCGGGGCAGCCTGTTGCAATGCTTGACAACCCTTTCGGTGAAGATATTTTTCCTAATATCAAATCTAAACCTCCTCTGGTGCAACTTGTGGTCAGTTTCTCTTGTTCTATCAGTTGTTACTTTGGAAAAGAGACTGACACCCTTGCTACAACAGCCTTTCAGGTAGTTGTAAAAGTATTAGAAGGTCTCCCCTGAGCCTCCTTTTCTCCAGGCTAAACAACCCCAGTTCCCTCAGCTGCTTGTTCTCTAAACATAAGACTTGTTCTCTAAACCCTTCACCATCTTCATTGCTTTTCTTTGGACACCAAAGAGAAAAAGATCAAAATATTGTTTCAAAGCAGCCCTCATTCCCATGAATAACCAAACTAAAAAAACCTCACAATTATTTTCAGAGCCCAGCTCCTTTCACTTAGCTTATGTGTCCAATGTATCTTCAAAGAAAAAGGCCTCTCCAAACACAGCAACAAACTCCAAATAAAGCAAGACAAATGTAAAGCTTATTAACATCATACCCAAAACATATCCACTGAGGTGCTCCTGCTCTGAGACTTCAGATGTTGTCACATTCCTTTTGTTGTTCAGCCAACTCCAGAACTTCATCTTAGTTACGACACTTGTATATTTTGACTTGCTTTATTTTAACACACTTGGATCTTGGATTTGTATACATGAAATAGCTCAGAAACTTTAACTGTTGTGCTGTCACATTTCCTCTAAGCTGGTGCTGGAATTCACCTTTTTTCCTCATCAAATAATTAAATGCACGATTCCCTGCACTCTTGTGTATGTATATATATATATATACACACACACATAAATATGGCTGTGTATATATGTATACACAGCTATATGCCTAATTTAAATTACACTGACCACAAAGAATGAGAACAAACCACTGTGATTACCACCCTTTAGCACATACACTGTTCCCTTTTTGACAGAAGGACATTCTACCAGACCTCCAGTGTAGGTAGGAACACACAGAGCTATGTGGAGTTGCAGGTACCTGGATGGATAAATGAGAATAACTAAATAAGACAAATAAGGGTTGAGGTAAATCTGTGGATTATGCAATCCAAAAGCACAGTGGGTCACCCAGGGTTTTCCCTTGTCTCTTTCAACATTTTTGTCTCCCAGTTATACGAAACTTAAACACAAAAGGCATCCAAGATGCTATTGATTCCATTAATATAGATTTGATATCCCAAACGCAGTCTGAGCTATCCTTTGTAAGTACTCCTTAAATGTCAACAGGTTAAGTAGTGAAATATGAAGGAAACTATGAAAGAACAAATGAGAACTTTATTTGTTGCATTTCAACAGCAGCAGTGAACAGAGAGCTACAGGGACACCACTCCACAGTAATACAAAGCATTCCTATCATTCATTTTCATCATTAATACAGTTTTACAGATAAAAAGTTAAAACACTTTTATCTGTAACCAGAGCATTCCACCATGCTGCAACTTAGGGCCAAAATAACTAGATGCAATGTTGGCGAAAAAGAAAATAAAATTCTGTCTCCACCATTAAACTCTTTCCAAGATCTCTAAAGGTGATGCTGCAATAGGATATTTAATCTATTTTGGCAACATTCCCTCTCACAACCTGACTGTTGCTGAATGATTTTTCTCTTTAAATTTAAAAAAAAAAAAAAAAAATCCTAATCTGTACAGCAAATGACATGTTGATAAAGGGGAAAGGAAGGGAGAAGAGATGTTCACTGTTGTTGGTTTTTCATGGTAATTCTCACTACCCACAAATGAGACAACAGCCTGAACCAGAGCAACAGGCACACACCCTCTCATGTCCTGAGGAGTGCCCAGCCCTGCCCCATGCTCTGCCCTCCTGCCCCATTCAAACCTCTCTAGCTTGGAAAACCCTCAAAGGATGAGTTTTGGGCCCATTTCTGTTTCAAACAGCATCTGACATGATACTTCTGTGATGTTTCGGTCAGGATCTTTGTGGTCTGTATTACCACCCCTGCACGGCCGGCCAAGCTGCGCAGCTCCCCCAGGACCAGTGGAGGCTGCAGCTCCGGGTGTTTAAGCAGAACGTTCCCACCCGGCTGATGTTGTATGCTTGCAGAGAGCAGCAGAAATCTGTGATGAAACCTCAGGAGAAAAAAGCAAAGCAAACAGCAGATTTACTGGTGTAAGGTTCACCTCTTCAAACCGGTTTTCTCCTTCAAGTGCTTTTGCTCCTCTGGGAAATGCTTTTCCAATTTTACATGCTGGAATTTGAAGAGACAAATGAATTTTAAATGCTTCAAAGTCAGACAGAAAAGTAAGCTTGGCTGTAACTCTTCCCTCCCCACAGGGACAGCAAACACCACAAAATCTCCCTGCCACATAGGACACATTGTGTCTGCAGAGTCAAAAATAAAGCACAGTCTGTAGAACAAATGTACCAAGAGCCATCGATATACATTGAAAAATAAAGATGTGTAACAAATACCACAGTTGGACAGTCAAATTCCAACCTCACGCAACCCCGCACCTGTTGATGCGTTGAATGCCACAAAACCAGGAATCGCCATACACCTCTAATCTGCATTTCTCTCTCACAACCAACTCACAACAAAGCTGAGCACGATTTTTACGGTGTAATGATTTCAAGATAGGATCCATCGTGACAGCAGAACGTACACGTTTGCAGTGCAGGGGAAATGAAGCTCAGCACTCCAACTTAGCAGCAGCTGTTGACAGTAAATTGTGTTCATTTGTGAAGTTCAGGGGTACAAACAAAAGCAGCACATGTGGTTTTCAGCTGGCTACAGCAGGATGGGTTTTACTTGCTCTGTAATATTTAATTTTTACAGTGGTGGATTAACTGCAGATTTCTATTTGCCACAGACGTCGTAAGACATTCAAGTCAGGACAAAGTCATCCCAGAGAAAGATGATCTTTAAACCAGGCGTTCCTGGTTCTGACAGTACCATGGGATGTGTATCAGCAGGTTTGCTGTTTCATACATCATCTTTTTCAACTTTTGTCTA